CAGACCACTGATTTCAACGAACGTGCCGACTCACTCCCTATCAGTCTCCTCTCAAACTTCAAGGCCAAGTCTTGGACAGCTGCCTAGTTTGCAGCCTAGAGCTTATGGCCTTCAGAACACCAGTCCGAAAGTCGACCCCCCGCTTGATAAGAGCCTAGGAGTCTCATCCTTTTTACTTGAACTGACAGCAGCAACTAATAACATTGAAAGCTCCTTAGCTAAGCTAAAAACTTTGCACTGCAAGCCCTGTGCGAGTATATCCCCGCCTTGTTCCAGCTCAAGCAACACCCAGGACAAAAAAAAAGGCAAAGGAAGGGCAAAAAGAAAAGACCCGAGTAACACCTCGCCTCCTGATCTTTTGGTCCCCAATTCTACAGCCGATGCACCGGGAAATTTACTCCCTGGCCCAAGGGCTTCATGCTCCCCAGCCAAACAACCGACTGCCAGCGAGCACCCGAAGACTGTCGACCTAACCATAACATCAGAGCTGTTGTCATCGGCACTTGTAGCCAGCCCTCTTGCCGAAGTGTCGGGGCAAATAGGATCTCCCGGCATTAACTCAAAAAAAGATGTATCGAGGGAGACGCCGTCCATGATGAACCCCACGATCATGCCAGCTTCGGAGCCCTCCACCTGTACGTTCACCGACACGCGCCCTCTGACAGAGTCTCTGTCCACTTCACCCCACACACGGCCTGATGTTAGCATCATCAATGGTCCCGCCCAAGGGGAACCCCTACTGCAACTTGACATAGACATAGACAGCGAGTCTGTGCCTTTCGAGGCCATTCATGGGTTTAATGATCTGTCACGGGAAAATCAATACTCGGTGCTCAGGAAGGTTGAGGCACTAAGGCAGGAATTGAAGACCCTAGTAGATCCCTCCGATCCTAATAGCTCCTCTGGAGATCCTCCATTCTTTCGAGGGACAAACACTTCGATTCCACCGCTTTCTACTGGGGCCACCACCTGGCCAAAAGCCTACAAGGGTAGATCCCCCTCACTTGAAGGAAGCTTCCAGATTGAACCGCCCCCATCCACCTCTACACGGGCAGAACGTACATTGTCAATTGCCCCTTCGCCTACCGGAGCTCAACACAAGAGAGCAGCCCAGAGCCTTTGTGTGGGTCAGCCTAGTCTCGAAGGAAGGGTCAACAGCAACACACTTCAACCCACTAATTTCCTTCAAACGCCCAACGTCCAAGAGCCCAGTCAGATTAAAGCTCTTTCAACTTCACTTCCAACCCAGCGTTTTCCATCTAAACTAGTTTTGGTGACTGCGGACATTCACATCCCAGAGAACTCTAGTGTTTGTCCTTCAGCCTCGCCGGTTCTGCCAGAACCCTCGGCTAGTCCGGATGCGGACATCCGAGCCGGGGCCGACCCCTATGCTGTAAGCTCACTTCCGGACCCAATGCCACCCGTCATATTGTCGCCTTCAAACTGACATTCGGTCAACCCACTCCCCTCTGCTCCATCGGCTAACCTAAGTCTGATCTCCTGGAACGTGGCGGGCTGGCACGGCAAAAAGCAGGATCCTGACTTTTGTGATCTTCTTCGAGGCTTCAGCACCATACTGCTACAAGAAACGTGGACGGCTCACCCTATATCCCTAGCCGGATATGCTTCATATTCCCTACCAGCTCAAAGGCTCACGACAAAGGGACGGCCATCCGGGGGTTTAGCAATACTAGTAGTCGACACAATAGCTTCCAACGCCATTCTTTCCGTCGACGGCATTTGCAAAATCCAGGCCATAAAATTGAAAACCAGGAACCACGAGCTTCTAGTAGCCAATGTTTACATGCCTCCAGCTAAAGTAATTGTGAATCTATGGAGGAAAATTCATGTTGTCCTAGTCTGTTTGAGGTGCTGCTGCAAGCTGTGCTGCTATATGTCGTTGCTCTTCAATATCTGGTGTCCAGTATCTGTGTTGTTGGTATCTGGTATGTGTCATGTGGGGCATGGCCTCCCTATATTTATATTTCTCCTGTTTCACATTTCCTTATCATTTGTTTACATGTTCAACTGTGAACTATGAAGACCTTTCTCTCCAGGCTTTCCCTCAGTAACCTGTGATTTTTAGATAGATTGTTATTCATTACTGCTTTGACTCGGTTTTTAGTATTTTCCATTTCTCAGAATGGCATTTGTTTTTTTCCTTTTTTATTATTTGTATACTTATTTTTCTTAGCTTTGATATTGCCTTTTAATGATATAAACTGCCTCTTTATATTCATTGTTTTTAGCTTTAAATATAGTCTTTTAATGATATAAACCACTATTGTATACTCATTGTTTTCAGCTTTAAATATTGTCTTTCAAAGATGCAAACCGCCTTGGGTCCTTTTCAAGGAGAAATGTATGGTAAACATATTTTAAATAAATAAATAAATAAATAAATAAATAAATAAATAAATAAATAAATAAATAAATAAATAAATAA